GAAGAAAAAAACTTCGGAATGAAAATTAGCCAGCAAAACAGGGAAGAAAGAAAAATTGAAATTTAAAAATGAAATTGAAGTTTAAATATAAATATATATACATATATATATCACAAAAATATATTTCATTGTTTGAAACGATTGAAAGGTTTAGATGGTTGAAGATCAAGGTTATCGTTTAATTTAAATGTATTGTACAACAATTAAATTATAAATTAATATATGGTGAAATGAAATGGTTAAAATTTTTATGAAAAGCGGAATTGAAGAGAAGAAAGAAGGGGGAAAAAATAAAAAGACGAAAAGAAAAAAGAAGAAAATGATAAAATTAATTTTCTTCGATCAATGAACTCTGAAGACAGCGTTATTTAATTGGCAAATATTTCATTACTTGTCAAAAAGAAAATTTGGAATTATTTGCTGAAATTTGATATTTTTTAACATAGAAATTTCCATTTGCAAAATTTTTCAGAACAAACAAAAAAAAAAAAAAAGAAAAGAAAAGGAAAACAAACAAAGAAACAAGCAAATATTGACTGAAATAAATCTTTTTGATTTTCTAACGTTTCGCTTTTTTTTTTTGCAAAATACTATCACTGATCAAAAGATTATGTTTATCAGTTGATTTCATTTGAAAAGAAAGACTTAAAACTATTTGAAATAACTTTTTTTGAAAAGGAGAACTAAAATGCATAAGTTAACTTAAGATAAAAAAGAAAAAAGATGAAAATAAAGTAAGTTACCTACAATTTTACTATGCATTACAGTAGAGCATTTCTATCTTTATGACAGTGCAAAAGTAACAATTACCGATAATGATCTGATAAGAGTGATATGCAAGGCAGAAGTAAGTATTAATTAACCTAATATCAATGAACTGTTTGTTTGCTATTAAATTTGCTAATCAGTAAGTGATTTTTGAATTTTATAAATTATTCTTGATCTAACTAACAGCTTCAGGCATTTGTTAGAAATCGAAAAATCAGTTTTGTTTTTATTTTTTTTAATCGTAATTTTATTTTTATTGTGCGTTTTTATTATTGTAATAAAAATTATTCTATTATATATTTTTATTATTATAAAAAATCAAAAATGTAAAAATTTCCTGTCATTTATTAATTAATTGTCAGTTATTAAATTATAAATGACGGTAATTTAATACCATTCCTTTAACACAATTTAATACCATTCCTCAATTTCATTTATCGAAAAATATATGAAAGGAAAAATTAAAAGAGTTGAAGGTGACAATTTTCATGAAATAATTACACCTAAATAAAGTGTTACCAATGGTAAGGCGACTTCTAATTAATATATTTAAAATAAATATATATTTTATAAAATCTATAAGTTATTCAATCATTTTTTCATATTTGAGAAGTGAAATTAATTTTAAATTAGCTACAGCTTTGAAAAATTGCAGGTTGTTGTTGCCATCATATTCGAATCATTGCATATATTTTCATATAATCTTAAATTTGTAAAGGTATATCTTCGTCAATAATATTATAGTACCATACCAAGCAATATTAATTCCTTACGTGATTGAATTTTCAATTATACCTGATTTGTAATGATGGATTCTTGTAACAATTGTTGAAATTTAATATGCTGAATTAAACTCTCATACTAATATTACTTAACCTTTAAAGTTTATAAACTTGTATCTTAATTAACTAAAAATTATCCGGCATTTTTATATGAGGAAATACTGGAACAGAATGATAAGTCGTTGGAGATTTGTCTGTTACATAAACAATTTCGGATATCTTTATGCGTTCATTTAAATTACTAATTTTCAAATTTTGCCTTGACCAATGACCACAAAATTGCAAAACATTAAGTTCTGTTAATTTGAGGACAAACTTTAATCAAAATTTTCAATGTATTAATTTATCAAACACTGATAAGAATTTCGTCACCATTTTTTACTCACTTTATTACTGTTCTTGTGAATCATCGATAACGAACCATCAAAGAAAAGGCAAAAAAAAATCACTCAACGGATTGATCGATACAATATCAATGATAAAGAATCAAATAATGATAATCTTGAATGATTAAATTCTTCAAATTATTATAATTTTATAAAATTAAATGAATGATTATCTGTGAGGGGATGTATGATGTGCAACATATACCTGCAAATTATTCCTCTTTCTTCTTCCGCACTTCCACTTTTTTCTTTTGGAAACTTTTTTTTTTTTCAAAAATTACAAATGATGAATGTCATGTTCTTACTTATTGCAGCTGTTTTTGTCATTTGAATCATTTATTCTTTCCAATGAATAATTTAAAATTTTTATCTTACCTTAGCTGACAATTGCATAAGGGGTAGAAAATGTTAGTAGCATTTATTATGACGTGTATCGAAATGATATTTTTTTTAATCTTACATTTCACATCAAATAGTTCAAAGAGAGAGAGAGAGAGAGGAAAAAAAAAGACCTTATCAATTTCATTCCAGTTATTAAGCT